TTGAGGCTCTGCTTGCTTCATTCCACCCTTCCTGCCACCCATCAGCTTGAAGCACTGCGTGAATATGAGTTAAAGCAGTCTGGTCTCTCCTGCATCACTGATACATATGCACTTTGACAATACTTATGGGGTTTGGATGTATTTGGATGCCTGTGAGAGGTGCCTTCAGGATAAATCCCGTGTAACCTCCCTTGCCCATCACCATAGGTACTGTGGCAGCTGCACTGGGGGATCTCGGAATGGACTTTTGGAATTCCATTTGGAATGGAAGTCCATTTGGCATGGACTGTGTAGGGAGGTGGTGGAGTCACTGTCCCTGGAGGTGTTTAAGGAAAGACCGGACATAGCACTTGGTGCTCTGATCAAGTTGACATGGTGGCTTTTGGTCATCGGTTGGACTCGATGATTGCAGAGGTACTTTCCAACCTAACTGATCCTGTTATCCCACTGAAGGGGATGAGGATGTGGGAGCCAGGCTGAGGGATGCCCCAGCAGCTGTGGGATCACCATGAGACAGTGATCAGGTTCATACCAGTGCAGGGAGGTTGTGGTGAGGAGCCCAGTCTCCATCACACCCACAGCTCTGCACGTGGTGCTGTGTGGTCATTCAGGTTACTGTCTGGGGAACAAAATCAGGCTCATTCCCCAGTGTGCAACAAGCCAATAATGACACACTCGAGAGTGACACGGATTATTTATTTCAGAGCTGCCCAGGCCCAGATGCTTGGTGGTATCCCACAAATCCAGCACACCCCACCAGACTTTCCACACTGTCATTTATACAGAGTTCGGAGTTAGTCACTTCCCAAGCACAGCCCCTCTATTAGAATCAAAGAATCCCAGAATGGCTTGGGTTGAAAGTACCTTAAAGCTCATCTCACTCCACCCCACTGCCATGGGCAGGGACACCTTCCACTAGACCAGGTTGCTCCAAGCCCCGTCCAGTCTGGCCTTGGACACTTCCAGGGATGGGACAACCTGTGCTAGTGCTTCCCCACCCTCACAGGGAAGAACTTCCTCCTAATACCCAATCTAAACCTCCTCTCTGTCAGTTTGAAGCCATTCCCCCTTGTCCTGTCACTCCAGGCCCTTGTAAATACTCTGTGTCTTCCTTGTAGGATCCCTTCAGGCACTGGGAAGCCACAGTTAGGTCACCCTGGAGCCATCTCTTTCCCAGGCTAAACAATCCCAATTCCCTCAGCCTTTCCTTTTAGAAGAGGTGCTCCATCCCTCTGATCATCTTGGTGGCCTTCTCTGGACACTAGGATTCATTATTAATTTCTATACAAAGTACGTAATCCCAGCTAACTTCTACACATGCTCCAGGGAAGGGTCTGCACCTGGCCAGGGTCTTTTTGACCTGTAGGCATGATTTTTGGTATTACAATGAAGATAGTTCAGCTATAGTATACAGGGACCTGGAGTATTTTGCCAAGTTAGCACTGTATGCATAGACATCGACATCTTGATTTACTGCTTCCTTAAAGCTTGTTGCTTCCAGGATGTCCTTGACTAATGGATGCATCTGCTGCCTGTCCCACTGATGAGTTCTCCTTTCTTGCTGATTAGGCTTGAAAGTAAACAAAGATCTTACAACACAGAACATCCTGACTTCAGATAATTCTGACATATTCCACATTTTGCAACAAAGTGAGCACGGCTGCAGGGACAGGTGCTGCAGGGACAGGTACTGCAAGGTTCCTGTGGGAGGGGTAGAATTCAGGTATGTGTTGCTTGGGCCTGTGACAAATGAGCTTAAGTTTTTTCATGCTTTAGCTACAGTAGGAAAATGGAGGATGTGGTAGATGCTGCTTGCAGAGTGCTGTTGGGAGGTGAATCACAAAGTGGTTTGGGTTGGAAGGGACCTTCAAGATCATCCAGTTCCAGCCCCCTGCCATGGACAGGGACACCTTCCTGGTTCCCATGGTTAAGGTCAGGGAATTACCTGCTTGTAGTGCTTCTCCATATATGGAATACCTGCTTCTCAAGGACCTCAGCAGCTCCAGCCAGGGCACTGCTGGTGACCTATTAACTTCTCTGAGGAATGTGAAACAGCCTTTTATCCCTGTTAAGCGAGTTTTTACTTCCTTCCTATATAACACTGCCTCGGAGCTTTCCCTGCTATGGGGAAGACTAACCCTCCCCCTAAATTAACCATGATTCATCAGAATTGAATTATGTCAATAATTCCAGTCTGAAATTAGCAGCTCCTGCATATTACCAGGCACAGATGAGCAAAGCCCAAACTCTGTGAAGACAAGTAGTCGCTCCACCTCACAGACCCAATTCAAATTTTACGTGGGACATCTTGATAAACTCATCCCTCTTCATGAAATATATTTCTGTGATGAAGCAACGTCTTCTGTATCTTAGAATTATGCAACATTATTACACAGCCTTAGGAATACTGGTGTTTCCAAAGCTGTTGTATTCCCAAGGATACAGAAAGAGTGGCTCCCTGCAGCGAGAGGCAGAGAACTGCTACCTCAGACAGGAGTGCTGGTTCATGGCAGTTTAAATATTTTATACAGAACCAGTTGTATGAATGAGAATGAAATGCTTGACCAGCTGGTGATTGGACATTTAGCCTCAAGCTGCACCAGGGGAGGTTCATGTTGGACATCAGGAAGAATTTCTTCACGGGAAGGGTTGTTAGACATTAGAAGAGGCTGCCCAGGGAGGTGGAGGTGGAGATCCAGCAGGAAGTAGAAAACATGTTGGAAGTCTTAGTGCAAGACACGGGTGAGTTCAGGTAGACCAAGGTACTTTCTGTTGTACAAATAAGATATAAGACTCTGTGGATGCTGGGTGGAGCAAATAACTTGCTCCTGGGGAACAAAGAACTGAACAAATCCCTGCAGGAAGGTCAGGTAGCAAAAAAAAAGCTGTACTTTGCAACCACAACTAAAGTAAAGAAAATAAGGCTCTAAGTTGTTTTATTACGAATATGAGGAAGAGCCAAGTGTGTTGCTTTGAAAGTGCAGCAGCCTGTAACAAAAAGCTGAACTCCAGGGTGCTCCAATACTGATTGGAGGGGGCAGTGGGAAAAAGGAATTGTTTTACTGTTACAGAAGAAAAAAAGTGTTCTCATTTTCTTAGGACTGCCGGAAGCATCCCTCAGTTCAGGAAGTGTTGGGCAATAAATGTGTGTTGTCAAAGTTATTGATGTTAAATAGGCAAAGCTGAGAGGAAATACTGCTTGCAGTGATAAGGTGGCTTATGATTAACAGCTTTAATCAAAATACCTTTTGTTAACCCCCCTCTTTACCCTCTCAGTTAAAACAAATCCTTCATGTTACTTTTCTAAAAAAAGCATGTATGGGAATTAAAGCTTCACCTGAACTGACCATATTGTCTCGTGGGGAGTGCACACTGCAGGGAGTCTTGAGAATTCCCACAGAAAACACTTTGGTCAGTGGTAATTGTAAGAAATGCATTGCCATCATTTCTGAACAGCTCCTGCTGCCCATCAGCTCTGCACTGGCTGCTTTTGCCATGGATTTGTGTTAACATCCAGAATTTTCTGTCACCTCTCTGTCACTCCCACTGTTGTGGGAGTAGCCACAACAGTGGAGGAGTCATGGTGTGAACTGATTGTGAAGGAGCTTAGTTAGATGTGTCCAATGCTTTTATTCCTGGCATTGGGATGGTGGTGATGGGTTTGGTTTCATGGAACAGCTCAGCTGGAGCCTGGCCCACAGATGGAGAGCTGCTTCCAGCCAGTACCTCTATGGGCATTTCTGGCTCTTTCAGCCTTAAAAGAAGAACAACTGCAGAATGGTTTGGGTTGGAGCATTAAAGACCATCTCGTTCCAATCCCCTGCCATGGGCAGGGACACTTTCCACTAGACCAGGATACTCAGAGCTCCATCCAACCTGGCCTTGAACACTTCCAGGGATTGGGCAGCCACAGCTTCTCTGGGCAACCTGTGCCAGGGCCTCACGTCCCTCACAGGGTAGAATTTTTTCCTAATATCTAATCTTAACTCTTTTTCAGTTTAAAGCCACTGCTGTGTGTCCTGTCACTCCATCCCTCGTCCAAAGTCCCTCTCCAGCTCTTTTGGAGCTCCTTTAGGCACTTAAAAGGGCTCTCAGCTCTCCCTGGAGCCTTCTCTTCTCCAGGCTGAACATCCCCAGCTCTCCCAACCTGTGTCCAGAGCAGAGGGGCTCCAGCCCTCGAAGCATCTTCACGATCCTCCTCTGGACTCACTCCAACAGCTCCACGACCTTCTCGTGTCCAGGATCCCAGAGCTGGAGGCAGCACTGCAGGTGGGATCTCCCCAGAGCAGAGGGGGAGAATCCCTCCCTCGCCTGCTGCCCACGCTGTGGGGATGAGCCCCGTCGGTACCCGGGTAAAACGAGTTTTCCTCCTTAGCTCCCTGTCCCGGCGCTGAATATCCAACACCCCACATCCCGCTGCGCTCCCGCCGCGCCGGCGCCGCGGCCCCGCCATGCCCCGCGCTGGGCCGTACCAAGTGCCGGGGAGTTTTGTGTGGATCGAGGTGCCGGCCCCGCTCCGGGGGCGGCGAAGGGAGCAGAGGGACCGTCCGACGGGTTCGGACCTGCCCGACTGGGAGCGGCGGCTGCGGCGGCTCCGCCACTGCGGCCCCTGTTACCTGCGTGCCGCCGCCCCCTCTCCCCCCTCCGCTCCGGCGTGGAACATCCCGCCCCAGAGGTGTGGAGTCCCGCCGGGGAGAGCCCACGCAGTTCGCGGGGGGGGGCACGTACGGGGCGCTGTCACCCTCATCCCTGTGCAGCAGAGCTGCCGCTCGGCTCCTCTCGGAGCGACTCCTCCCGAAAAATCCCACGCTCTCCTCCGGTGCCGCCCCGCGCGGTTCCGCGCTCCCCCCGCCCCGCTTCTCCTGCGAGCTGCCCTCCGCCCCCCTCCCGGCACGTAGTGCCGCCCGGCGCGGGCGGGGCGCGCTGAGGCGCGGGGGTCGCGCAGCCGCCGCCGCCCCGGCCCCGCTCCCGGCCCCGGTTCCTCCCTCAGGATCCCCCGGCCCGGCCCGGGGGCGATGCCGACACAGCGGGACGGCACCGCCGGCAGCACCATGTCGGCTCCGGGCGGCCTCGGCGGCAGCCTCGGCGGGGACGGCGCCCACCAGGTCCGGGTGAAAGCCTACTACAAGGGGTGAGTGCGGCGCCGAGCCCCGCGGGCGGGGAGCCGGGTCCGGGGTGCCCAGCACGGGATCCCCCGGACACCCCTGGCTCCAGCCTTGGGTATCCCCTGACTGCAGGGGAGGAGGGAGAGAAGGTAGGATGAACCCTCTACGACCGTCCAGCCGTGTTTACATGGATTTCAAGTGCAGCGCTGGTGTCCGGAGGAGCCTCCCCTCCGTGTGTTGGGGTCTGGGGGGAGCTGGGTCCTCCCTCTTGCTGGGATGGCCTTCCCGAGGAACAAGGATGTACCTGAGCAGCCTCTCTGCCCTGCTCACCCTGCTTCCCTTCATCCCCAGGCCCTGCTAGCAGGAACAGCTGCATATTCCTTCATAATACACGCCAAAATTCATACTTCGTGTGTTCAGGGTCCAGCTTTGGTCCTGGTTGCTCTGTATTAGGTATGTCCAGATCTAAAAACAGAGGATGTTTGTATGAAAATCTCTTTCATAGGTTTTTAGGCTGTTTCCCAGGGACTGAGTGACTTCCAAGGGAGCCTATGAGTGGTAACTAAGATTATTATTATTATGTACCATCGATTATGCTTCTGCAGTTAAAAACAAACAAAGCAAAATACTAGAGGTCTGCAGAATGGAAATCTGAATTTTGTTGGCCTAATTCAGTGTCTTTCCAGCAATAACATATAAGGCAGAAGAAATGTTCTGTCTTGGGCTCATGGCCCCCTATTAAATAGTAACAGTTACAGGACTTAAAAAGTTTGAGTGCAAGGGTTGCCAGTGGTTCATTGAGTCATTAACTCTGAGTGGAGGTGATCTAAGCAGCAAAAAATGTAGATTGCATTTTTGGATTAAGAGTGAACACATGACACTTGACAGCTTCCTTGCAGTTATCTGTGTTCAGCACAAGAAGGGGTGCATTACTTCTTCAGTATTTACTCTCTGCTATCTCTGGCCCTATAATTTTAAGGAGAGGTATAGAAACCACACTGAGCATTTGGCATTTGCTGCTGTGTTTGGTTTCTGGCTTGTGTCTGATTTGGGTCTTTTCTTGCCAGGAGTCTGTAGAAGTTACTCTAGAGACTGGCACAGTCTGTGGCCTTAAAGGATGTGTGAGACTGTCAAAGTAATAGTATGTGAAATTCTCAGCTCTTTGTTTCAGTCTCTTTAATCTACCTTTTCTTAAGGAAGTGGAGATGCCCCTGGCTATCAGCTGGCAGAAGCATTCATTTGGTCAGACAGTGAACTAAAAGGGGGAATTGTTCTGCGTTAAAACCATTTATTTTTCTTCTGCTGGGTCAGTTCTAATCTCGATCATTTTCAGGTACAATCACATAAATTCTTGCTTTAGCAGAGGAAGGCTGTGGAGCAGAAAGGGAGAAAGCAGCTAAAGGATGTGGGAGTGAGGAAAAAAATCTGCTACACTGGGCAGAAATGCTGGCTCATGACCCTGGTAATAATTTCAGAGATATTGGAATGTTTCTTTTGAGTCTTATCCGTTGACTTTTTCTCTGTTAATGCAGTTATCAGTTTAATAACATCACTGAGTCATGGAGGGTGTTGGTTAACCACTGTGAATACCTACAGACTAACAGGCTCAATGCCTTAGTCATGATTTATTTTGAGATATAAGCAAATTATTCTCTCCACTTTCTTACAACAGAAAGTCTCAAGCCCCTTCTCAGACTCTCATTATCAAGGGGGTATCAAAGCCAAACACTTTACCTGCACGTACCCTGGAATGACTTGGAGACTGAGGATCTGAATGCTGATATCAAAGGCTCCTTTTTCTCCTTTCCTCAAATAAACCATCTCAAGATTAGAGCTGGATCGAGGATTTAATGGGAAATAGTGTTAATCAGGAAATGTTAATCTCTCTTAATTTCATTTTAATAGAAGCGTTTAAGTGGGTTGTAGAAGTTATTGGGAAAGTCTTGCTGGGAAGGTCTTTTCATCTTCCAGGAGGAGTTTCTGGTTAAAGAAAAAACCAAAAACCAACAACCACTTCGAAGCACAGATTTGTTCTTGAAAGGTTTGTGAATCTGATAGTTGGGATACTTGCCTGGGGAAAAGAGCTGAACCTGAATCCCTAAAACGTGGGTCTGGCCAGGAGCCCAATTGCTTTTCTCAGCCAAGACAAAGACTTCACACAGGACCCTTTGAAGAGTCTTTGTTTCACTGAGCTGTGCAGTGCTAATTCTTTATCTTAAATTCATGAAAGATGTTAAAACAGGAAGGAAAATTTTCCTGAAAATGAACAGAGATCATGAGAATAAGGGGGTGGGGAATTCCCGGAGACTTGGGAACTGGGGCAGTGGGTTGAGTTTGTCCACGTATTTCCTTCTCTCAGGTGAACTTTGCTTATCTTTCTCATAGGGCTGGTTGTTTAAAACGCTTAAAATAGAGTTACCAGTTGTAAAGAGTTAGTGTGATTTGTGCAGTGTGTGTAATAGAGGGTCCTCAGGGAGTTTTTAGGAATTTATTACTCTAAAAGTTTATGTAGTTTTTTGTTGATGCAGTAATGAAAGTATAGCAGCTCCAAGCTTCTGGCACTGATCAGCATCTGTAATTACACCCATTTCAGCTCTCTGATGATATTCAAAGTTTGCCTTTTGTCTTATCTCATTTGTTGTAGATGCTTTTTGTCAGGTCAGTACAAGTTGTTATATCATTAATACACGTTGTAGCAGCAGAGAACAGGTGGGAATAACACACTGCTTGTGCTCAAGGAGCCCTGTAGAATTCATGCTCTTGATTTAAAAAAAGAAGCAAAACTAATCAAGTATAAGAACCATTTTTCTGTCATGATTAGATATCCTAGCTTGTATTCTTTCAGTGCCTGACATAGGTTTTATGCTGGTTTTATGCTGGTTTTAGCTGTGCAGGCCTCTGCCTGCCTTCAGTTTGACTTGGTTTGAATGAAAAATACTCCTGACAGTCCTCTCATGATACGTGTTAAACTTGCTTCTTTTCTTAATTTTAATGTAGTTGCACGAGTGGGAAAAGAGGGGCGAAAAAAATTGAATTTTAATTGTAAAATCAAAATGTACCTCCATAAGGATTTCCATAAAATTAATTTCTAAAGGATTCTTGGGTTCTTGCATACTTTCTTTTTATTGTTCTTGGTCTTGAATGCTTTCTGACCAATTCTTCAGCAGAATGTCTTGGGTTGTCTGTTGATGATCAAGGAGAGTGTTCAGCGTAAGAAAGCTTCGGTCTAAGCCTATGGAGACACTTCCATCCCTTCTTGCTGTTTCAACACTGGTTCACCTTTGCAAAAGTACATTTTTTCCTGAAAAACTGATTGTGGGACCAGGTGGTTTGATACCTCAGACCTCCACGGGGGAAAGAAATGCTTTAAATGTTTGTGAATGTCAACGCCTGCCTCTTATGGTACAGAAATGACCCTGACACAGCAGAATTCCCCAGGAGTCCTGTGTGGCTTCATTGCAGTGGTCTGTAATTAGGCATTATCAAAAGCCTTAATGACTGACCCAGGTGTGTGATAAATATGTGGGTATGTAGATAATATGTATAATGTATCTGTATTTCCACATACATAATATGGGATACATTAGGCTGGTTTGTAGATGTTGCTTGTGGAACCTTTTTTATACTTAATATCATCTTTTTCTTTTAATATTGCTCTGAGCTAGGGTTCTGTGAAACACTGATCAGTGTTTGGTATAGCACAGGAGATCTTCCAAATTATCAAATATCTAATTATCTGATACATGTCCTGTTGGAGTTATTAAGATAGTAATCTCGAGGATTTGCTTAAATTCTAAAATAATTAAACTATCCTTTATTTGAAGGACTCAAATGTGAATAAACAAAGGAATGGTAAACTTTAGCACCAAATCAGTGGAGCTGCCAAGTAAGCAGTGCCTTATTTCCTTCCCGGAAAAACAGGAAATACAGGTTAAGGCTTTGCCTCCCAACACGGAGCTGCTCTGGGGGGGGTGCCCGTGTGTCTGTGACAGTAACACGCTGTCAGATCCACCTCCCTCAGGGGCACAAACGCTGGAATTGAGTTCCCAGTTATTGCTGGTTTTAGGGAGGATGCAAAGGGAGACCTTAGTGTTGCACAGAAGAGTTTGCTTGTGTAGGGTGGGCACAGTTGGGGCTTTCAAATGCAGCCTCATTTGCCCCAAATTGCTGTATTGTGCCTAAATACTGGGCTCCAAATGTTTTGTTTTGCATCTTGTCTCATGTGGAAAGATGAGGAGCAATTCCTCGACCAAACCATGTAGCAACTTTTTGACTGCTTTATTCAGATTACTGAAGAGGTGCAGTATCCATCCTGGACACCTCTGTCCTATTTACTGGAGTCTTTCCTGTACCCAAACCAGCTGATCGTGCTCATAAATCCAGAAGCAGACTCGCTGTTCTTCTGGAGTGCTTAGAAACTGCTGCTTGGTTTTATTCCTGCTGCTGAACCTGGAGGAGCCTCAGGCCAGCAGTTTGTTTATCGTGTGCTCTCTGCACTCTGGAGCATCCCCTGACCATAACTGTTGCATTAAGTCACCTCCTTGATCCCACTCTGCCCATGCACAAGGTGATTTAAAGACATTTAACTTGCTGCATATGTACACTTCATTCTGCTAGGAAGCTTGATATGAATTTTGACCAGATGAAAACTTTGGTTATTTTTTTTCCCCCACCAAACAGTCCTGGGAGCTGGCACCCACTGATGCAAATCCAACTAGCTGAGGTTTTTATGGGAAAATTAGTCTTGTAGCTCAGACATTGGGTTTAAATGAGGTGTTTGAGGAGGAGTGTGCTGTAAACAGCCTTCCACCTTCCTCTGAACTGTATCTCCCAACTCCTTTGTTTAAGGGACTGAACCCTGAGTCACCTGTTCCCCTTTAAGGCCCAGACAATACCAGCACAATTGGTCAGCATTTTATGCTGACATATTAAAAACAGGTTAACTCGCTTTTAATCTCAATTATCACAGAAATACCCATTCTGCTTAACAGTAAAGTGATAAATCTGAATTTTAAGTATATGGCTCTCTGTCAGCCTTCCCTTCATAGAGTGAAACACCATGCTTGTTTTAAAGGCACTTTCAATATGTGGAACATCCCCCCAAATCTCCTAGAAAACTTGTTTAATATTTGTCATTAATTTTTTATAACATCTACACAATCAGAATTTAGTTGGAGAAGATGTGTGTTTTTACATTTTGATATCTAATAACAAAATAACTGTTATAGAGCAAGTAAAACCAAAAATATGTTATTAACATTATTCAAAACATTTGCAGCATTTCATTCTTGAGTTTCCATTGGTGTAATAGATCTGATTTCTCTGTGTGGCTAATATCTGCTGCAGCTCACTTCATAGTTATTTGAGCATTAAATCTTAGTTTTTCTGAAGCAGATACCTGGAGGATTAAATGTCAAGTAATAAAAATCACTTGGAGCCTGACAGAAGGGAACCTCTGTACTTCACTTTAACATTTCAGAGGGAGGCTGCATCAGGGGTGGGTTTTATATTGGTGGCATATGAAAAGTGTTAGAGGTGATGGTCAAGTGCTACATTTTGCGGTGTAATTTCTCAAATCTGGTTTTCTCTTGCTCAGGGACATCATGATAACCTATTTTGAACCTTCCATCTCGTTTGAGGGACTGTGCAGTGAAGTTCGGGACATGTGCTCCTTCGACAACGAGCAGCTGTTCACCATGAAGTGGATTGATGAGGAAGGTAAATCAAGGCTCATCAATATGCTGCTCAACTTCCCAGCTTTTCTTTCCCTTGCATCTTTTCCTTTCCCTCTGCCTTCTTATAGAGCATAGAAATAGTAAATCTGACTCCAAAAAGTAATGGTTATCCAGTGCCTTTGTAAGTGCAGCTTAATGAAAAGGTGGTTGTTTCACACTGCTGAGTGTGTAACTTTCTCTCTTTTTATACCAAGTAAGATCTCAGTGAATATCAAAATGTTAATTTAATGTCGGGATTTCTTATGAAGGGAACAGAAAGTACTCATACTGCTGAAGAAGACCATGATTCCCTTTACATCTTACATTTTTTAAAAACAGTTCAACTGACATTGAATTATACAAATAGCAGTATTTATCTAAAATATTGCTGCAACTTAATATATAGTTGAGTTGTGTGTGTAACCAAAAACATTATATCTCGAGTGTTATTATCAGCTGTTACTTTAACAACCTAAAGTCTATTAACACACAGCTTCTAATAAAACCTTTTCTAAATGTTAAAAGGGAAATTACTTGTCTGAATGATGTATAGTTGCTTTTCATCAGAGTGCAATAACAACTTCAGCTGAGAACCTGTCAGCTTTAGCACTTAGAGTATCCATCTTAAAGTTTACCTTGGATGAAAAAAGTCCAGAGTCTGTTGTCCCTGTTCCTTAGCAGGTGTCATCCAGTCGAGCTGCATGTGTACAGTAGTATTTTTTTTTTTAAAGGTTATTTGTAGGTCCTGTTTTCTCTGTACAATCAGTTTATTCTACACGTAGGTTTTGAGCCCCAGCAAAGGCACATCTGGGTTATGGGATGGCTGTGGAGTTGTTTTAGCTGATGCAGTACATAAAGGGCTGCAGTCTGCAGTGATTTGTTGGCCATGGTTGGTGTTTGCAGGCAGCCATCAGCATAAAAGGTGCTCATAGAACTGTTTCCTCTCTTTCAAAACTGGATGACTGCCAGTTTATTTGGAGCTGAAAGCTAAACATGGACCAGAGCTGATTTTTGGAAGAGCCCTGTAGGCAGGTGTGTTGAAGATTATGTGGGTTTGGGAGTCTGAGTGGGGTGGGGGTTTTTATTTCCTCTCATTATGCCACAGTTATTTACACCAGGCAGATGCAGTTCAGTAAAATGGAGTGTTTATGACTGATCATACAGCAGAGCTATTGGAGTTGAACATTTACTTCACAGTAAGCTGGCTGTGTTGTTTTATCATGAGGGGGATAATGGACTCCTCACTGCAGAGAAAGTGTCTGCAGTGTCTGTCATAGTAAGAAGTATCTATTTTAATAAAAATGTTGTGCTGATTCAATAATTTATTTGAAGTCACAGTTTGTTCTGTCTCAATTTCTGCTCTTTAATTAGACATAAGAAAAAAGGAATGCTGCAGTTTGACTGAATTATATTCATATGTTCACAAAGGAATTAATTTTTATGAGCAAGCTGTGTTTGCTTTAATCATTGACTTACAGTTTAGTGTCAGTGGATAAAATGTTAATTTGGTGATGAGGAGTGTATTTAAAAAAATCCTTCTGTCTTTTTTGTGAGTAATTCTGGCATGAAAAATGCATGGTCTCTTGCCCAGACCTCTGCCTCCTCTCTCTCCACCACTCTGAAGTGTTTTCAGTTGATATTCTTTCTAGAAAGCCACTTTGCTTTCTTGGAAAATTCCTGTATCACATCCTCTTCACTAAAACTGAAGTTTGCTCTTTAATAGTAACATGAGGAAATGTGTGTTGTGGGCTGGTTCGTGTTACACTATTGCTGATGCTTTTTATAGTGTAAGACAAGATAAGGGATCTAAGGCATCACTGCTTCCTGACTGAACTGCCTGTTCATGTGTGTGACTGAACTGGATTTACCTGGTCAGTAAGGCTTTTATTTGGCATATACTAAGTGTGGTTTTAGCCTTTGCAAGCTGAAAGCATCATGTGTAGCTACTCCTGTGTCATAGAGGTAATGGCACACAAAGACAGATCTAATTTAGTTGAGTGGAATCACTTCCAAAATTCTCAGATGCTACTGGAAAATAGAATTAACTTGATTTGGTTTTAGACAGATTTCTATTTTATCTGTATATGGCTGATTCATCTTCCCTCTGTCTCCTGAACCATCCTGTGGGATGGGCACTGGCCTTGTGTGTGTCCTCAGTCTGTTGTTTCTTGCTGTATAACTCAAAAGTAAATATTTTCCTGTGTGTCCCAGCTGTCTTTGACTGCAATATTTGTACTGCTTGAACTTGTTGAAAGAGATGTCTATCGACTTCTGTTCCTGGTTTGCTTATTCTCAAGACCCTCTTTTGCTTCTGCCAAAAGGAAACACAAAGCTGTTTGTACAGATGTCAAAAACAAATGAAGAAAAACTGGTTTGTTGATTCCAGTAGTGAGTCTGAGTAAATAAGTTGTTCCTTCTCTTCCCTGTGCTCTGCATGATGTAAGTTTGTGGAGTGGGTGGGCAGTGGGATGTTCAGGTGGGCCAATTGTAGGGAAATGGAGGGGAAATGATGGCAGGTGGCTTCAAAGTCTCATCTGAGGGATTATGATGTACAGAAAACAATAAAGCAGAACGCTGCAAATGGACCATTTACATTTATTACTATTTTAGCAATAGAAAAGAATGGACAGAATCACAGAATGGCCTGGGTTGGAAGGGACCCTAAAGTTCATCCAGTTCCACCCCCTGCCATGGGCAGGGACACCTTCCACTAGCCCAGGTTGCTCCAAGCCCCATCCAGCCTGGCCTTGGACACTTCCAGGGATGGGACATCCTGGGCACATCTCTGGGCAACCTGTGCCAGGGCCTCCCCACCCTCACAGGGAAGAATTTCCTCCTAATACCCAATCTAAACCTATTCTCTGTCAGTTTGAAGCCATTCCCCCTTGTCCTGTCATTCCAGGCCCTTGTAAATAGTCTCTCTCCATCTTTCTTATGAGATTCTTCAAGTACTGGGAGGCCACAATTAGTTCACCCCAAAGCTTCTCTTCTCCAGACTGAACAATCCCAATTCTCTCAGCCTTTTCTCACAGCAGAGCTGCTCCATCCCTCTGGTCATCTTGGTGGCCTCCTTGGACTTGCTCCAACAGGTCCATGTCCTTCCTGTGCTGGGGGAAGAGACATTAGAAACAAATACATTATGATACATTAGAAACAAAACAAATTAACTGGAAAAACTTCTGTGGGGTGAGTTTAATAGTGAGCTTAAATAGTTAATAGACTGTTGCTCATTAACTTTCAAACCATGGTCTTGACCAAAGACTCAGAGCAGTAAAACCTCCAGAGTGGATCCAGTTCAGCTGAGATGGGAATTGTCCTGCCTTCTTCCAATTTACCACTTAAGGACATGAAAAGTAGCATTTCTTTTAAAAATTGGAAGTGTTATATGGCAGCAGACTTGCTCTGTGGGCTTTTGGCTAGAAAGAAGCTTGTTCTGCTCATGTTGGAGTACAAGCAGGCAGAGATAAATCCCTTGTTCTTGCACAGAACATCTTGTGTAGGTGGAGAGAGGGGGAAAAAATTGAACTAATAATTAGAAATTTTTTCTTTCTTTTGGGCAGATGATTGAGATTCAACATTGTTTTAAAAATGTTTCAGTTGTAATTGTAGTATTATTTTGAAAAAGGCTTACTGTTTTAGGGGGACAATTTTTTTATAATGTTACTAATCTGCATCAGACACCAAAGAAAACACAGTCTTGGCAGAGAAACTCTATCATCAACTATTTGGCATGTAATTTAACCTGCACCATCTCAAATGGTTGACAAAACTGCAATTGTTTTATAAAAAAGAAGAAACAAAACCAGCCAACCCACACTTTTTTTCCTGCCCTGGTGCCCTTTCTTTAAGGGATTTTATTTCAAAAAAGTGAGAGTGTGGTAGTAGTAGTTAAAAATCAGAAAAATGGGGTGTTGTGCTTAGATTATGTTATTTGTCAGAAGTTTTCATTGAGGTTTGAGGAGAGACTAGAGGTGTAACTGCTTTTGCACCTCTGGTTAAATTCTTGGCTGTGAAAATAAAATCGACTCCGTTCTAATTAAAAATCTGCTAAATAAAGTGTAATCTCAGAAGGGTTTTAGGTGCAGGACCATTACCTGCACCCCCTGTACTGAGATGATCTGTGACCATGCTTGTAGCAGACCAAACCAGTGATGTTTTGGGATGATGATCTGCTTGCCTCTTGGGAATATCCCATATTTTTATTTCCCCTGAATGCATTCAATATGAATGTATTTTCAGATGTACTCTCTGAAGAGGGTTAAAAATAAACACTACCACAATTGAGAATGTTGTTCTGCTTTGTTGCAATAATTATCTCAGAACCAACTGTGAGGGAACTGTGGAATGGCACAGAACAAATTGGGATGAGTGTTGTGTTGCTCTGTTATCTTTCCACAGGAGATCCATGTACAGTTTCCTCTCAGCTGGAGTTAGAAGAGGCCTTTCGGTTGTATGAACTAAACAAGGATTCAGAGCTTCTGATTCATGGTGAGGGGAAATTTGCTGTATTGCTGCTCACGTTTGCACCTGTCAAGAGTGGAATTCTGACCTTGCATTATCTGTGCCTTTTGCACGTCCTCCTTGGTTAGAGCCTGTGGTGGAATTGTGTCAGGGGGATGCTGATGACCTTGCACTGTGATTTTAGCTGCTCTTTATTAAATTAAGGGGGGGGGGAAATACTCTGCTGGTAGTTTATTGATGAAGGACAATCTTCCTGACAGACTTCAAGTGTCTTCATTCATTCAGCTCAAGTGCCTGCATACTCTTGCTGGCAGTGAATGGGAAAAGGGATGCAGTGCAATTTATTTGTTTTTTTTTATTATTTATTAAATTTATTTATTATCCTGCACTTTGTTATTGATGAGTGGTTTAGAGCAGCATCTATATTAGGAAAAAAGTTAATAAGCTCCACTTGTGATGCCAGATGAGTCAAAAGTTTGGCTTTTCTAAAACTGAGTGCTTCAGTTTTAAACCCAATACCAGTTTTAAACCCAGTAATATCATGCCCCTCTTTGATGTGGAATTGTTCAATTTTTATTTTTCAGGGTTATATGCCTATTTTGGCAGCTTCTGCAAAATATTTTTCTTGCTGTTTGTAAGTTTTTGCAAGTAGAATGTTGCTCTTGGTTTACCAGATTAGAGAAGAAGAGCAGGGGATCATTGTGAAGTATTATTGTGTTACATTACAGTGTCTTAACATGCTCCTGCTCTTAAAAGGGTGCAAAAAATCTAGTTCACCATCAGCCCATTTGAAAGGAAGAGGAAGCTTTTCAGCTTCCCACAGGGAGTTTTAAAATGTGGAAGAAGAATGTAATCTGTTTGTAGATGTATTTCACTGCTTTTCTGTATATTACTTTACTTTTTCATCTGCCCTTTCTCCATTTATTTTGGTATTTGATAAGCTTCTGATCAAACTGGCACCAGGGCTGTCTCTCCACAGTTATACTTCTCTCTGACAGTTCTGAAGCTGAATAAACTGTAAAAAATGGGTAGTGTTACTGAAGCTAAATAAACTGGAGAAAAAAAGACTTATATTGTCAACATCATATGTAGCTGTTGGGACACTGTCATATAATACATTTATAGCATTTGGAAATCTTGACTAACTGTGAAGATTGGTCACATGAGAAACCAGAATCATTATTTTTTTCTTGTTACTTTCTTTAGGAAATAACTTCATTTATTCTGCTTTTTGCTCATATTTCTCATGTACGTAGGTTTTGTTGAAATGCAGTCAGTGTTGTCCTCCCATGTGGCTGAATGCCTTTCAGGAGTGTTGTATTTAACCCAAAGATTTATTTTCTGTCTGAAATAAAAATTCATCAGAAGTTAATGTCTTTGTTGCAGTGTTTCCTTGTGTACCAGAGAGGCCTGGCATGCCTTGTCCAGGAGAAGACAGTAAGTGGGCATTTTATTTGAGAAGTACAGAAAACCAGTTCAGATTTCCTGTTTTAGCAGATTCTGATATTCTATGGTTTGGCATCCCACACTTATGAATATTAATAATGCAAATCTGTATAAATTAAATATTGAAAAGGAATAGAAAGTCTTGCTAAACTTAATGTTGTTTGTCACTTCTGACTCATTGTTAATAAGCATTTCACATTCCTGTTAACTATCCATGTCACTCTGCTTTCCTTGCTTTTGCCTTTTCTATCGTGACAGTTTTTTATCCTATTCCTGTCTTTTTGGGAGTTGACAGATTGCTGGGTGACAAATGTAAGGCTTGTAACCAGTGGTAACCAGTGGTAATGACTTGTGTCACCATTTACAGATCTGTGGTTAGTTGATTTAAAATGGATCTTTAGGTACTATCAGGAAGATTCTCTGAAAACCCCTAAGTTATGTTAGCTGATGTTCTAGACATTAGAGAGGTAATCTCCCCTCAGTCTTAAAGTTTTATAAAAGAGTGTGTGTATGTTATGCACACTCACATCTGTCAGCTTGGTGTCCAAGTCTCTGACAAATGTAAATGTGCAGTTAACTTGGGCAGAATGTCTGAAAAAAATGAGGTTGCAGGCTGAATCAGGAAGAGATTTGCAGCTCAGTGTGGGTTTGTATATCTTAGTTTTCAGTTTTGTTTCCTGATATGCCTCAAGTAAGAAAAAATAAAAATAATAATTTAAAAAAAAAACAACCAACCAACCAGTGTCAGCTTTGGATCTAAAACACTGGAGGATTTGTCAATCATATAAATTTGCCATCATATAAATCAGGACATGCTCCCAAAATTCACATCCCTTCCTCCTTCCTCTTCTCCCACAGCTCCTCCCTAAGTTTAGGTAAGGCAGGTGCATACTTTGCACACGAGTGTTTGTATTTTTTGGACAGCTTTCCTTCTCTTGACTCACTGTTCCTTTTAATTCTGGAAAATCAGAATCAACTGCATTGATTGGGATATTCTATTTCAAATTTTTCCAAAACTTCAAATGATACTTGGAACATTCCTCTGTCTTCCTGTAAGGTGCAGGAGTGAAACTTTACTCTGCAAATCCCTCTACACAGAAAGGTCCATGAGCAGCTGTTGTAGTTCTGTGTTTGTATTTGTATGGAGATAATCCTGTGTTTTTCCTCTTAGAATCCATTTATCGCCGAGGCGCCCGCCGGTGGCGAAAGCTCTATTGTGCAAATGGTCACACTTTCCAAGCCAAACGATTTAACAGGGTGAGACTCTTGTTGGGTACTTAAAGCCATGATACAGGGATGTCTTACTTTTGTAAAGATGATGTCACTGCCTTGAAAAGTCATAAGGTGGTTTTATTCTCATTTTTGTTGTTTGTCTGTAGGCTTTTGGTAACCCTGTACTTTCAGGAAACTTAATATTAAATTATCAGGAACTTTAAAATAGAAAAACATAAATTGGTTGCAATTTTCTTTACATGTACTTTGAAACCGTGATATCAATCATATAAAAGGTCCTGTGTTACCTTAAAATCTTCCCAGAGGGCAAACTGAGATGCTGGCATTAGATGTCTGTGAGCTTAAAGTGCATTTTCAGTTCTTTAAGTTCTGGGGGTAAAAAGGTCTGAAGTTGCTTATGATGCATAGACTTTTCTTTCATTACTTTGGAGAAACATCTCAGTTTTCTCCTTTAAAACTACCCGCTTCTGGTGCCATGTAATCGACTGAAAATAACAAACCATTTGGAATATTTTCAAGAAGCAGTGGTCAAATATAATTAGTGAAGGACCCAGAAGGCTGTCTGCTGTATTCAGAAAAAGACACAGCAGAAAACAAACCCAAAATATTTGAAAAAGTCAAGTCCCTTGACAGCTTCAATGATCTTTCCTTCTTCTCTAAACTTAGTGTATTGTGTGCTTAATGCTTGAGATTGTCTCCACTAAACTTCATCTTGAGCATCCTCATATCTAACTTTGGCTTTTTTTTTGTTTTGTTTTTTGACCTCATGCAGGTCAAAGGCTGTCAGGGCACCACAGTTTAATCACTTTCCACTCTTGCCTCTGTAGGCACCCTGTTTTCATGGATCTTTAGAGTTGTGTTGTGACTGTCAGTGAGTTGTGATCTTCCCATTCCCGTTATCTGGTGGTTTAATGTGTTGAAGCTTTTGCTCTCCTGCCTTCCTCTGTTAAGGACTCCTATGCACAGAGAGATGAGATACACAGCAAATGAGCTTGGTTACTGAAAATGTGGCTGGATGGTTTTATGGTTTAGTTTTGCTCTTTAATCAGGGTTGGTTTATGATTGCAGAGAGCTCACTGTGCCATCTGCACTGACCGGATATGGGGCCTGGGGCGCCAGGGCTACAAGTGCATCAACTGCAAACTCCTGGTTCACAAGAAGTGTCACAAGCTTGTCAGCAGTGATTGTGGCCGTCACACACTACAGCCAGTAAGTAAAAATTACCCAAGAGGTTGTCTTGAAAGAGCAACAACCAGCCAATCAAACAAACAAAAGATGTTATGCTGTTGGTTTTCCAACTGCAGCCTGCAAATGATCACAGCAGATGAAACATCATTTTTTATGGTTAATGTGACTTTTGCAAGAAAGTTTGGCATTCACTGAGCAGAATTAGTAGCAAGACAGGAGTCTGGTTTTCACATCTGTGTCAAGTATAAGCATACAAGTGACATTTATCTCATCCTTCACGATATCATTACATAGCACATTATTTCACATCTTCAAAGTGAAGTACAGGTAAAATAAATTCTCTAACTGTCAGTTAGATTATTGGATTATTTCCCATTTACAGAAAAGGAAGATGAAGTGTAGAAGACTTGACTTTTCTCCCAAGAAGTTCAATCATCCTTAGTTCTTAAGTCACCAGAAAATTTTATTACTGCTTCTGGTTTAATAAAGCAGACAGCTACAAGTCTACATTTTGTGAATTCTTTTGACAAATATATGTACTGCTGAAGTACTTAAGTTTTTCTCACTTCTCATCTACTATCCTTCTGTCCTATGTTGTAGTAAGTTGTCACTTCAACAGCTTCTGGAAATGTCATAACTTCCAGAAAATAGAGAAAATAAGGACTGCAGTTGGGTTTTTTTGTTGTTTAAGGGTTAGAGCAGTAGTTATATTGACTAGTCAAGTTAAAAAGTAGCTAGATTGTATTCCTTAGGGAGTATTAATTTAATTTATTGACTCTAAAATAATGCTTCTCACACTTGGACAGTTTATTACAAGAATTCTGTGCATATTTGCAGGAGCCAATAATGCCTATGGATCCATCATCAGTGCATTCAGATAATGTAGAATCAGGTAATATCAATAATTTTATTTCTTTAAATTATTGCAACTTGCTGAAACATGAACTTTGAAGTAAAATTATTTTAAAAACCCTTCTTTACTTTTTCGTAGAATAAGAAAAGTAAGACAGCTTCTTAATAGTCAGGGGGATATAAATATAAAAATTCCAGTTTTTCATATCAGTTTAAGAAACTTGACTAAAACCAGAGAATTTAGGCTGTCAGTTACATTTTTCCATCAGTAAGCTTTAAATGCCCTGATCAAGCAAAAAAAACCAACCCTTACCAGCATCAGCAGAGTTTCTACTGGAGTGGTAACTGAACTGTTTATTCTTGTAGGAGTCAGAGTGATGGTTTTAATTCAAACCCATCAGTTGAATACTTGCCATAGATGCATTTAAATTGTGTATCTGAGTGTGGAAATTTTAGGGCAAAAGAAAATACTTTTGTGCTGCATTGGTCTAATAATTCTTCTTTCACCTCTAGTGATTCCGTACAATCCCTCGAGTCACGAGAGCTTGGACCATGTTGGTGAAGAAAAAGAGGTAAAATAGCTTAACCAGGCTAACTCTGTGCATAGAGTATCTCAAGCTGGAAGGGATCCATGAGGATCCTCAGAGATCTTAAAGCCTGTATGTCTCTCAGTTTGTAGATTTTGGTAATCTAATTTGTCACAAACTGAAAATGAGCACATAAGGCACATTTGGGTTGCTCACTCAGGTGTGTGCACGTATGGCTTGCTCACTGTTTTTTGAACAGTGAGCAAGGTTTTCCAACCTTCACTTGATTTACAAAATATTCCAAATTCCTCCAGTCTCGTTTGTTTCTTAGCTACCACCTCTCCTCTGCCTCCTTTTTTTCCCTTCACATTCCTTTCCAGGACAGTGCAGTTTTAAGAATAACAACTGTTAATTGAATTACTTGTTTATATTAATTTTGCTCTTCTGTTCGAAATGCCGACTTCCGCAGTTGCTCACATTGGCAAGCTGCTTCCCCATTCCCAAGTGTCTTTATCCACAGGCAATGAGCATCAGGGAAAGTGGCAAAGCTTCCTCCAGCCTGGGCCTTCAGGATTTTGACTTGCTCCGAGTCATTGGAAGAGGCAGCTACGCCAAAGTGCTGCTGGTCCGACTGAAGAAAACCGAGCGCATTTACGCCATGAAAGTGGTGAAGAAAGAGCTCGTCAACGATGATGAGGTGGGCAAGGGGTTTGTCAGTGAACTGGGCAGCTCTTCCCAAGAGCTCCAGTATTCCCCACGAGGTGGGAGCCAGGCTGTGGGCTGCAGCACTCATGGAAAATTAAACATGTACTATTAAACTGCACTATAGAAGGTAAACAAGGCAGGTAACAGATTTTGGGATCTTCACTGCCAGGCTGGTGGCTCCCAGCCACCCTCCTGTGCCTGTGGTTCTGTCATGGGCCTCATGATTTCTGCTCTCAGTGTCTCCTTCCATACTCAGCACTGTATGCAGCAGCACTCCTGCAGAATTGAAGTGAATAAGCCTGGATTGATTCCTTATTTTGGAGCAGTATTCTGTATCACTCCTCTTATGTTGGTTTGCTGGGCTGAAATGAAGTGGGTGGAGTCTGATTTTCTTATGTTCAAGGCTGGGGTTTTTTTGTCACAAAGGAATCTCCCAATGTTATTTGAATTGCTGTTTAAATCAGACCTCTATCTTAACAATTTTTGTACCTTGCACAGTGATGAGTGAAAAACTTGTCAGCAACTGCAGTGCTAAACTGCTGAAAACCTCCTGTTAGTGAGGATTTCTTTGGGTTTCTTTAGGCTACTCTGAAAAGATTTGAGTGACTGTGACTTGCTGTCCAACAGGTTTTACATTTATTTCTCAATCTGCTATTAATTTCTGCTGCACCTCTTGGTGCTACTTTACATTTGTCTGCACCAGTTTATCTTTGATAGATGTTTTCATTCACAAGTGTGGTTACATATTGAGGTTAAAAGTACAGGATGTTCAGGAAAAAAACGGAATATACTGTGTTGTGTTGCTTCACATTGCAGAACTATGTAATATTTAATTTCTTGCAAGTAAAATAAGGGCAACAAAGCACTTGGAAGTCTTTCTGCTTATTGTCATTAATACTTGACGTAAGAAGTACAACAATCCTTTTTCTGAATGTCACTTTTCTTCAACAAACAGGATATTGATTGGGTTCAGACAGAGAAACACGTCTTTGAACAGGCTTCAAACCATCCCTTTCTGGTTGGGCTGCACTCTTGCTTTCAGACAGAAAGCAGGTAAAGGTCATAAGATAATAAGAAGATAATCTTATTAAAAAAAAATCATCCTGTTAGGCACCTCAAAGGCCTATTTAAAGCATAAGGTGGTAGGTAGGTAGCAAAAGTCAATGTTTTGTAAATCATTGTAGCATTTTATGAGCCAAATCCCGTGTTCATCTAAGGTTTTCAGATGGGAAAGATGCAAAAGAATACAAAGTACTGTTAGGTGTGATGCCACGATTTCTGGACAGAAAGAGAAGTGCAGCTAGTGGGGAAAAAAGGCTTGAGAATATGAGATATAAGGGACCTTGAAATGGGAGGGGAAAAACGAGAGGAAAATCATAACTTTAAACAATGAGGAAATTGGTCTCAAAACTTGCCTGGATTCTCTGAAGATGAATCTGGGCAAGACTCGGAAAATAGAATCTGAATTTTTAAAAGGAAACCACAAGTAGTAGAGATGAAAATGATTGTTTTCCTACTCTATACAGTAATAACTTTAAGTACATATAAAATACAGTTGTTGTATATTTAAATAATATTCTTGTTGTTTTGTAAAGGTGACAAGGGGAGGGAAGTGAGAAGAAAATATTAACCACAAACAAAGGAGATTAAAGGGGTCAGGAATGAAAATCAGTTTGGGTTTTTTTCCTGGTTTGTGCATAGAAACTGATGTGCACCTATTTATGTAGTCACAGATATAATAATGACAAGCACTAGCTCCAATCTAGGAGTATGGAAAGGTTTACCTACTTTCTTTTAGCAATAAAGGAATTACCTAGAGAAACTTAGTATACTTTTATATTATATTTAACACTAGAAATTTATTCAAAAGGAGGGGAAGTGGTGAAACCAGCCATATTAGCAGAGAGGTGGGAGGAATGGAATTGGCATTTACTGATACCAGATCTGTAGCATCTCAAACCCCTTTCAGCCATGTGCACAATCATTTGTAACAATCCTGTGTGTTCCAGGTTATTCTTTGTTATAGAATATGTGAATGGAGGAGACCTGATGTTCCATATGCAGAGGCAGAGGAAGCTGCCAGAGGAGCATGCCAGGTGTGTCTCATTCCAGATTTCCTGCATCAAAACAGTGCAGAGATTATGAGGATGAGCCAGCAAATCCTCTCCAGATGTTAAGGATTTAAGCAATGTGGAACTGCATCCTCATTTTGGTGCTGCAAGCCTCCTTACTTTTGTTTCAAGGAGGAACTGTAGTAAGAATCCCTTAGTTATTGTTTGCATTGGCATTGCAATGCCAGTTGTGTATGACTTGAGTGTGATTTTTTTTTTCCTAGAAAAACAGTTCTGTGGTATTTTTTTTGCATGTCTAAATCAATGTGTTTCTCTTACAACAACCACTACCAGCTGTCCAGGCAAATGCTGAGTTCTTGGTGCATATGCTTAATCTCAGATGGTGAGATGAAAGGGATGATTGCAGTAGTCATTAATATTAATTAAAAACAAATTTTGAAGTGGATAGAAACATTTGGATGATTATAAACAACTTGCCACTTCTCCGTGGAAAAATAATAGAATACATGGGATTATGTTTCAAAACTATCATACTACCAAGACTTGTGTTATTGTGGGTTGGGTTTTGATCCCTTGAGCAATCAATATCTCTTTCTACATCAGGTTTTATTCTGCTGAAATCAGTCTGGCATTGAACTATTTACATGAACGAGGGATAATCTACAGGGATTTAAAACTGGATAATGTGCTGCTAGATTCTGAAGGGCATATCAAACTCACAGATTATGGCATGTGCAAGGTAAGCTTTAGTTTCTTGCTCACCAGGAAAATCAACAATTAAGAAGTTGTCATAAATTAAAAGGTGCAGAGACTTAAAAATGTGAAATGTCAAAGGTATATATTTGGACACAGGGCTCATGAGCTGTTTACTCATTTCACTTCCACGCATGGAGAAAAGACAAATGGCAGAGTGCACAGACTACAAGTGTAGGTTCTCTTTGTGTTTTTATAAAGCTGCTGGATCAGATTGCCTGGGAGGGATTGACTGAACAGTCAGGGCAGCTGGATTTCAAACAGAGCAAGAGGCTGAAATGTGTCAGTCCCACATGGTTCTGTTTGGATCCTGTGACTCTGCCCATTTCCCCTGGGAAAACTTTTGTCACTACAAAGACTCTGGAGCACAAGTTTGACTTTGCCGTGGAATTGCTGTTATGCTGGTTATTAAGGGCACTTAAATGAACTCAAAATTAACTTCTTAACAGAGAGGGAGTGTGGGATCTTTGGTTAACTGTAAAGTATTTTCTTCCCATCTTTTCTCAAAGGAGGGTCTGAGGCCTGGTGACACAACCAGCACATTCTGTGGGACTCCAAACTATATCGCACCTGAAATTCTCAGGGGAGAGGATTATGGTAAATGGAATTTTTTTGGTGTTACTTCATAACTTCCACCTTGTCTCTTACTTCTTACGTGAGTTGCTTAGCAGTAGAAAGTCTAAATCTCCATTAGACAGTCTTAATTCATCATCCTGTCTGGAAAAGTAAATAAAGCCTTCAAAGGAAGAGCAGAAAACATCACACAAAGCAAATGATGCTTTCCCTGTTTTAAATTCTTTTTGCCAGTCTTGAATAGCTTGAGTCTTTCAAATTTATTATTGTTTAGAACTATTTTAGATACTACTAATGATATACTTGCAGTCTGGAATTGTGTTTGGCTTTGGAGCTTTACATTTGGCAGCAGTGATAGATTAGATACAAATGCATTGCAAAGGGCCTTCATAGTAGATGTTTGTGTATTTTTTTTTTTAATCTACCGTTTTATTTCAGTCAAATGTCTCTTTCAGACTGGCTTTAGATCTTCCTTCCTTATCACAAACATTCTAGGCCAGACAGCCTGTATCAGTCCCAGCCTGGCTACTGGGATTTTCCTTTAGCAGAGTAGATGTGCTTTGCTCCATGAATGACTGACTTGCTGCTGTTAGGAATCACATACTTCCTCCTTGTCCTTATCTCCCTCCCTGGATAACACACTGTTGGATAGTAATGAGTAGCTTAAATATTATCTAAACCTTTGTTAAGGTCTTAACACCAACCTTTAAACTCTCCATTTCCTTGTCTCTGTACAGCATCCCCTCCTGTTGTGCACATAATGATCCAAGTAACGTCTGGTACAATCATTATCTCTCCTTTATTCGGCTGATTGGAAAGACTGGCAATACTTACATTTTTTAATTTGTTCTTTCTTCTCTGTCTGTTTTTAGCCTCAAAAGTGTTGGTATTTTTGTTGTGAAGTGTCTCCAGTGATGTTTTCTCTCTTGAATTCTAGGCTTCAGCGTAGACTGGTGGGCTCTTGGCGTGCTCATGTTTGAGATGATGGCAGGCAGGTCGCCGTTTGACATCGTGGGGAGTTCTGACAATCCTGATCAGAACACAGAAGATTATCTCTTCCAAGGTGAGGACCATAGGTGCTCCTACACTTCAGTGCTGTGCTTCTGCTTACCTTTAATCTGACTTCAAAGATGTCAAGGCTGATAGGAACCTTGTTTTCTTGCAGTAATTTTGGAAAAACAGATCCGAATTCCTCGATCCCTCTCTGTTAAAGCAGCAGGTGTTCTAAAGAGTTTCCTTAACAAGGTAAGAGCTAAAGGGGTTTATTGAAGGCTTCTCAAGAACAGCTGGTTTTTTGAATACCTGTTGACTGATGTGCAGCTGATGTACTTTATCTGCCATACAGAGAAACAGAGTAGAAAAGGCATGAGCCTAAAACAGAATTTTAGTGGGGCTGAACACTTGTCTGAAAACGTGAAGCTGCAGGATCTCAGGCTGGGATTGTAAGGAAATTTCAAAGTGAAAGGCATAGATGTGCTCCAAGTGATTTCTTTAACCTGGAGAACTGAACAAACTTATCAGATTTATTTTGGTTCTTGCAGAAGCAGCTTAACAAATCACTTTAACACCTCCTGATGACTCCAGGGAGGGAATGCAGAGGCAGGATGTGCTCACTGCTTGCTGGGAGCTCTCCAGCCTGAGGGTCAGAAGGTGCTCATTTAGTAGTGGATGAGTCCAAGCACGTGCTGTCCTTCAGTGAGAGTTGCATGAGTAGGAAGAAAGGAACAGGAGAAACCAGATTTGGTTAAATTACTTTAAGAAAATAACACTGCTCACTGCACACTGTTACAGCTCCCTGGTAGGAGAGCTGTACGTGGAGGTGGAATTGTCTTGTTAAGATAACCTTCTTTCCACAGGATTTACCAGTAGCTGCAGTTACTGCCCCAGTGTGACTGCCTGGCATAATCTGCTCAGGGAGGAGCAGGGGAGGGTATGGGTTAGAAATCGAATTAATTAGTAATCTAACCACACCTGCTCTGAAACATGTGGTGTGTTTAAAAAGGTCTGAATACAAATGAAGAAAGATGGCATGGTTGTTCATATAACATTCAGTTAGGGGCTTCCATATATTTGTGCCTATTTCAGACAGTGAATTGGGGCAGTTCCCGAAGTAAATAATGTGGACTTAGTTCTTCAGTGTCCCGTTTGACTCTGGTGTTTCGTTTCTTGTGGGATTTGTAGCATTTGCATTTCATTCATAGCACCATGAATAGACCATGGCACTTATTTAGAAATACCTTCTTCCCTGCACAGGATCCAAAGGAGCGTTTGGGCTGCCATCCTCAGACAGGGTTTGCAGATATCCAGGGACATCCCTTCTTCCGCAATGTGGATTGGGATCTGGTATGAGAGCCCACTGGCTTGGCTGATCTTCTTTGCTACAGTAATTGCCTTGAAAACTTGTATTGAGCACAAGAGATGACTAAGCTCAAAACCCTTGAGCTCTTAATTTATGTTCTATTATGATTGCAATGCAGAATCTTTTAACCCTTTTACACACAGTAAGTGCCAGGAGATTAATGGAATGACTGTAGAAAGTATAAAACGTAGTAGTAACTTCCAGCCTTGTTTAAAAGCAATTCAATAGGTTGTAACTCATTCTAGGTGTCACTTATTAAGTGTGTTTATTCTTAGATGGAGCAAAAACAAGTGGTGCCTCCATTTAAGCCAAATATATCTGGAGAGTTTGGTCTGGATAACTTTGATTCCCAGTTCACCAATGAACCTGTGCAGCTTACTCCAGATGATGAGTAAGTAATGGAGAATTTACAAAGTTCTGATTAAATCAGTGAAGAGGTTGTCAAAATTCATTTACTAGCTGTAGTTGTACATGAAAGGATATTTAAAGCAGTAAATAGCATTTTCTTGTGTTAGTTCAAAAAAAATTCTGTTGTGTGTCCTCATGATAGACATAGTATTTCTGGATTAAGCAATTTACTCTGGCACAATGTAAAAATCAACTAACAGTGGAAAAGTTGCTATAAAGAATCTTAGTTCAGGAAAAGACAAACAAGTGCTATTTCACAAGTTTTAGTGGTATCATCTGCAAGAAATGAATGTGTGAAGGAATAGACCTGTTTTGTCAAGTAGTTTCTTTTTGCATTGCTTCAAGCAATGATATTTCTAGAATGTTGGGTTTAAATTGAATTTATCTGAACAAGAGAAGATGCTTTATTTGGCTTGTTTGGGTATTTTAAATTGTTAGTAGTCAGGTGAGGTTATCCTGGCTGAAAAGCCTTGGTAAAATGCATGATGATATGCTTGATTTTGGTAGTGGATTTGTGGTTCCTTATTCTGGAGGGGCCCTGATTTGGGATGAGGAGGGAAGGGCCTTTCTAGTTTGATTGAGTCACTGCTGTTCACATTTCAGGAATTTTTCTAGGGTTTTATGTAACATTCATGTAGCACATTAACACAGTGAGCATTAGATGTTACCTGTGCACCTTAATCTGAGATCCAGCTTCCTTCTTCATCCCTTTCTAAATGTGGAATGTGCATATAAAGTGTAGAGAAGTTCCTGATGCAGGTGCAGTATCTGTCACATCTAATGTTTTCAGGTTTTTACAAAACTGATTGTTGAGGGAAAGTTTTAAAACTGCAGACCTTGTAGATTGCTTTGTGTGAGAACGTGCAGCCCAGTCACTGCTCCTGAGGGGTTTTGTGTTTCAGTACCATTATAGGGGTTAGAAAAAAAACAGTGGTAACTGTAAAGGTAGAGAAGGACAAAAGAGAGAAGGGAAATGTTCTCAATTGCAATCCACTGGGCAGGTTTAAATTTTAAGTCAAACTATCAGTTAATATTGTTACCTTCTAAATTTTGCTGAACTAATGACTGTTTCTTAATCTTAATAGTGATATTGTGAAGAAGATTGACCAGTCTGAATTTGAAGGCTTTGAATACATAAATCCTCTTTTGATGTCAGCTGAGGAATGTGTCTGAATTCTCCATTTCTGGACTGTGCCAATTGTTACTGTTTGTTTCTGCATGGATAAACATCTCTCCATTTGGATGCACTTGCATAGAATGAGTAACTGAACATCCTGCCCTTGCCACCAGTGAATTACTCACTAATTTTCTTTTTGTATTAATGTTGTCCAGGACAGTTGTTATGCTGAATCTTCAGCTGCCAGATTTAAAATGTTAAACTTTCCAGCAGTCTTGCCAAACTTGAATTTTAACACAGGAGTTGGTCTATGGGGCTCCTGTGCCTGAGCAAAGGTGTCTGGCTGTATAGTTTGCCAGTACAGCTTTCTGAGCAAGGAGAGGTTTTTAGTGCTTAATGAACACAAATTGCATCAGGTGATGTAATAAATTATCATTCAAGGATTTCAGGTTTTTCAGCAAGATGAGTAAGAACTTATCACTTCTGTAGTTCTGAATCTCTTCTCTCTAAACATCTGATTTCCCTGTTTTATGCTTAGAGCTCTGTTAGTGCCCTTCAGATTGAAATGACAGCAAGGAGAGCAGACACTGTACAGGTCAAAAATAAGAATGGCTGCTTTCACAGGGTTTATTGATCCTGTCCTGAAGGAGATGATTAACTCAATATTAGAATTGGTAGACTTTGCTCCAGAATTCACACTAGGAATTCCATGCTGATGCAGAGAGTGCCTTTCTAGCCTGGCCCTGTCAGCGAGGGTCGGGCACAGCATCAAGTGTCAGTTTAAATAAAGAATTCAGTTAACACTTTGAGAAGTTAAAATCTCTACAGCATAATTTAGCAGTAATGGGCAGCTAATGCTGACAGATGTAGAGCCTCATACTATTTATTGCTTTTACACTTTCTGTCTTAACTGCATCAGAACTGCACACGGTACAGCTGGGGCCTGGATCAGGGCATTGGTTCCTTTTTGATCTCACTGCCACATTGCTGGGAGTGTGTTCCACTTTGGCAGTGGAAAAAGCACATCTAGAATAAAAATAGGTGCTGTCCACAATGACTCCCTTTACTCCTCCCCTTAGAGATGGTGATCTGTAATCACAGTCAAACCTGAAATGTTGGGAGCAGGCTCAAGGAAAGCAATTGAAAGAATGGTTCAAACTAGGACTTAGGAGGTGTGTTTGTTACATTTCATGTTAGTAAGCAGTGTAATATACAGCACAGGTAATTCTTATTTGTAATGTTTAAGCAATAGTTATGAATGTTTTGGGCTGAAGAAATGCCAAATGTACCACTTTTTTTTTTTTTTTATTGCTTTGGGGAAAAGGGATTAAGAGACATTGAAGAAAGGAATCTGTATTATGTAAGAGCTGCAAGACAAGCTAAGTATCACTGAAAGCAGGTCTGAGTATCTGCAAGCACAAGTTAGCAAACATTACCTGGAGCTTTTACAAAGACTTTCTGCTTGGCCAGTGTCTCTCCTTGAAAATCCTTGTATTGCAACACTGTAAATTCATAGTACAAATCTTCCTGTGTATGTTTGTTCACTTCCATGTGAGCTGCAAGGAGAGAGATTGCACAAATAACATGCTGGTGTCATGGTATCATAGTTAGCTCATATTTTTCTTTGCAACATGAATAGGAAACTCTTTATACTGGGCTGAGTTTTCAAAACTGGGAAGTGATTTGAGGGGCTTCGGTTTCAGGGAAGTGTTGAACCTCGGCACTGTTACAAATCATGTTCCCTTAAGCTCAAGTTGTGTCTTTTCAAATGTAAAATATCAGAGTAAACCTTTTAAAGAGCAGCTAATACCTTCAGCACGTTTATGTCAAGTGAACTGCTTACGTGCAGTTTTAAAATGGTGATTGTTCAGCCTCTGACTCCTGCACCCACATGGCTGGTTTAGACATCAGGGCAGAACTGATATGAAATGCAGAAGCTATTTAAACAAGAAAAGCCTTGTCTCTACAGTGGCTTAGTTTCCTATGGGGTATTAAGGAAAATGGCTTTATGTAAGGAAGGGCATTTCTGCCATTTATCACAGAAGAGTAAAGCAAAACTTAATTTTTTTTTAACATAGATAATGCCACAGAAAAGATACTTTTTCTATTTACATATCTAACCATTAAGAATGTTGCAAAAGTGACAAATATCTTAAATTGCTGTAAATCCATTTTTAAACTTTAATTTTTTCCAAAGTGCCATGATATTAACTGTTATTTTTCACTGTTAAGCATATAGCAACTGTCATAAATATTCAGAAGGGACATTGGGTGTAAACAGTCCAGTGCAGTAGGCTTTGTTTTTTGGAGAACGTGTCTGCATCAGAAGCATGATGTATTTATGAGGAGTAACCTCCTTTTTTGTATGTGAGTTGGATTCCTATGGGTGCTCTGCTAGTTAATATTGTCACTATTATTTTCCTATTTCATATGGAATATGGTCTTGAACGTTGTTGTGTAATCATTTCCTTTATTTGTGCACACTTTTTACTTTAAATAAAACATTTATATTAGGCCTCTGTGTGTTAAAATCTCAAACAAATGCTGTGAAATGCTGGGCTTTGCTTGGGATTGACCCTTTTAACTATCCACAACTCACAAGAGCCTTGTTCTAATCTTGTCATTTCTTGTAGAACGTTGCTCTGGGATAGACCCCAGCAACCCAAGAAATGCCTTCCTCAGCCTGTATTCCCCAAATGTGTCTGAGAATGCAGGTCCCTTTCCAGCATCATTCCTCAGCCTCATGTTCCTCATGCCCTTTTGGAGGAAAAGCGTCCTTGTAGGTTCTGTCTTTCATTCCAACACCAGAGCTGAGACAAAAGCTGTGAGGCTTCAGTGTGCTGTGCAGAGACTGAAAGCTTCAAGGGAAATACAAAATGCGACTCCAGCTTGCTCGTCCAAGGGCCTCTTTCAGCTGGAACTTGTAACGACGTCACCTCAGCTGCCAGAGCTGGGATTTGGAGTTCTGAGCAAAGCTCTCGTCTGCTGCACTTATTTCTGCATGATTTCTTTCTTTGTTTCTTCAACTCCTCCCCTGCATTCTCTGAGATTTCTGACGTGGGAGGGGGCGAGGGCACTTACCTCATACCCTGCTATGGATGCAGTATTTTAATATATCTGTGTTCCTGTCTCTGTGTATGTTTTAGCAAGAGGAAATCTCTTCAGTCTGGCTGGTTATGCAGAGTGTTACCAGCAGTCCCCGGCGAGTGCTGCAGATGGCTGCATATCTTACATGCTTAACCTCCCCCCACACACGCTCCTTGTTTCTGTTCAGTTGGGTGCCCAGCTGCTCTCGCCTCAGTCTGAGCAATTGTTTATGCTAAGACACTGTAAAAGAAATTAATAGCTTGTATAATCTATATATACACTTGATAACTGCTAAGCCTGCGTCCTCTCTCTGTGATGGACAGTGTAAGACGTTTAACCAAGAGACATTTAATCTGAAATTGGCCACAGAATAATGATGTTTTCCTGGGAAGAGGGAGGTGGGGATTGAAGCCCCTTTGAGCAAAAGGGGATTTTACCATATCTTGCATTTTCTTTTGAAGAGTTCCCCTAGGAACTTATTTTATTTTAATTATCTTATTTTAAGATAATTTTTTTCCTGCTTGTGATAAAGGGATCTGAACTGCCTACTTGAAGTGTGGGCTCTTACCATTTAATCACCAATAATTAAAGGCAGAGAAGCATCTACCTCCCCTGTCTGTTTGGCTTTTGCAGGAGATGGATGGCATAAATAGAACCAGGAGTCTCTTGTATCCACATTTGACTTCTAAACGTGAACAAAGTGCCTGGGTTTACACCTCTTCTGCACTGGGGTAGCACTAAGGTGTAGTTCAAGTTCTTCAGGAGCTTCAGTGTTCCCACAGTGACTTATCCTGCAGGATGTGGTGCCTGCCAAAATCTATCAACTTCCTGTGCTTAGGGTAAAATAATAGGGTAACTAATACAGTATCTTGTCTGACTTAATGTGGCATAGGAGGTTTCACAGCAGTGGTCTGAAGTGTTACAGTTTACTATTAAACATTGCTACTGAAGTGATTTTCTTTTAAAAGTGCAGTATAATATCTTAAGAGAAGGCACAGTCTTTAGTTCAGGGCTAAACTGTGCTCTTTAGCATCTTCAGGAAGTGTGTGTATGAAAAGTTTGTAACCTTCCCCACAGCCCCAGCACTTCTTGAAAATTCAGAGACTTTAATAGTCAAAGATTCCTCCTGTGCACTGTTAGTGCACTTTATTACCTCTTGTAAAGGTCTGTAACTCAGGTTTTAGTTGCACAGTGTCTTCAGAACTGCTTTTCACAGTCCACAGTAGAAGTTGTAGGCAGAGTTAACATCTTTTTTTAGACAATCCTCTACCTACAAACTTTGTCTTCCATTGCCTGATTATTGTAGCTCTATAGCAACACTATCATTACAGCACAATAGTTACCAGAATTTGCAACCTGAAATGGAAAATGTGCAGCAGAACTTGGAAAAAAACCCCAAATTAAACAATGCTACTGACTTTCTGAGCTTCCATTACATCAGTAGGTCTAATAAAAGATGGAATATCTGCCTACATACATTGCCTTCCTTACAGCCATCGATCAGGCCAGCTCTGGGGTTATACATCTTGCATTTTCTTCAGTAAATTTAAAATGGATTATGATAAAGTGCATTTAGCGGATTGGTATTTGAAAAGAATTTTTTTTTATCAGGTCCTAAATTCCTAGAGGGTGGAGCAGACAGGAATGTCTAGAAAGTTTGGACAATTCTATCACAGGTCTGGGTCTTTCAGGATCAGCTCCAAAAGCTGGTATATTTAGAAATCTTGTTTTATTCTGCTATTATATATATGTGTATATATTTAAAAATATATAAATATGTTCTGCTATTCATGGCTTTGTATCTCAGTAAATAAGTTCAGGGTGTTAGTCTTCTTCACAAATGTGTTTGCTTTTCTATAAAGCTATTTGTCGTCCTACCTGCAAACATCTTATTGCAGAACAATAGAGAATTAAACAGAATTTAAACAGACAATTGAGATCAAACATAAGTGCACTTTTGCATGTTCCCTTTCCTTTCACATTTTCCTCTAAGGCTGGTGCTTGTACTCCTGCAACTCCTTTGCCTCGTGGTGTTTGCTTAACTGTAAATGGAGAGGAAATGCCAATATTTATAAATCCTCCTGCAGAATCACTGTGTGAGGCAATCCTGGAAATGCTGCAGAGGCATTTGTTGTCGCAGCCACAGTGAGATAATGCCTGCACAGCCCTGTGCAATTGTGTTGCTGCAGGCTAGAGGATGGAATTCATGGAAAGCACCAGGATACAACTGCCCATTGCTGCACCGTGCTGGATTCAGGTTTATGGTCCAGCATCTATGGTATTTTCTTAAAATACACACTATTTGTGGTGAATCTTGAGTGGCTGGAAAGCACAGAGGTGTCAGTCCTGATCATCCTCCAGTTCATGAAACTCGTGCATAGAGCCTGATGTTTTCATACCTACCCTTTTTGGCGATGATTCTGCTGCTGTGGGGGAGTTGCACAGGCAAAGTCTGGCAAAAGGAGCTAGAAAGTACTAGGGTACATGTAAGTAAGGAACTATGCTCTCCTCATAATGGTAGTAGTCATGAAAATAACTAAATAAGTACTATCATGGGGAAAGACTGACTCAATCTTTAGTGATTTACAGAAACAAAAAAAGATTAAGTAATAAAGTATTAAAGGCGGCGGGGGGGATGTATTTCTCCAACGCTTGTGTTCTTCCCCAGTATTAAATCTCAGTTCTAGTTTTTGGGAAGCTTTCCTCTCTGCTTTGGCCTACATGGAATGAAAGGAATTTATGCCTTCTCTTCCTTCTCTGTTTTCACAGGTAATTCAGAGGTTTACATCCCTCAACAACACTAAGGTTTGGTTTTGGTACCCCTTTGTTTCTAGGAAAGCTGCCTGAGTGCTGCAACGTGGCAACAGTAAAACAGTGATCCTTGTTACGAGATTTTCTACTGAATGTAAAAATTGAGGTCCTGCTCTATTTCAGTTTTACGATTCCTTCGTCTGTACCTGAGTTCTTTAATAATAGAAAGGTGAAATGGTTTTCTGTACATTTTAAAAAATGAATATAATCATTATCGCCTGTCATCACAGTTATTATTAAAAGCTCAGGCATTGTTATTTTATACAGTTATTCTAAACCCTATTCTACTACTTAAACTGTCAAAAATAAATTATTTTTGCAATATAACGCACCACAGGGCCCAAAGATTGCACCAGCTGCTGTGCAAACATGGAATGAGGGATTGCTCCTACCTACACATGTGACAATCTAAGATCAGCAACGGGCAAAACCCACACACGACACCAGTAATCCCAGGTCACTCCTTGCCCAGCCATCATCAGGAGGAAATATAGATCATAGAATCATGGAATGATTTGGGTTGGAAGGGACCTTAAAGATCACCCAGTACCAAAGATACTGTAGATATTTTTGTAGATATCACAATGGATGTGGTGGTTTACAAGCAAGTTAAGAGATGACTCATGAAGCAGCTTCAGTGATGCTCAAGGACCCACCGGCAGGCCATGCCAGCCCAGAGGGAAGCTGAGCATACCAAAGGTGCAAAGTCAAGGATTAAAATGCACCAAACCCCCCTCTCAGCTGATCAACAGTGAGGCAGGTTTTGCTGCTCTCTAATAATCCTTCTGGGACAGCATTAGGAAACAGCTCAGGAGGGAGCCCTGGCCGTGGGCAGCGCTGGCCGGTGCTAGGCGGTGCCTGGCAGTTGTACAACTGCCCCATTTTCATGTGCTGTGCTTTTGTACTCGCATCAAAATATGTAACTGTGTGGGATGAAAGGCAACGGCAAATTGGATTGTGCCGTAATCCCAGCTGAAGCGCTGTCTTCTCAAAGATGTAAAACAGAAAAGCTTTGGGTTTCTTGCAGGCAGCAGGAATTTGTAATATGTGAACTAGTTGTACAGCGACTAAGCAGTCCCTGAAGAGCATCTTCCCCACCTCTCTGCAGAATTTGATCGTTCCGCTTCCCTAAATGTCTCTTGCACTTCAGCATCTCCTGAGAGCCTGTGACTGGGGGAGCCGTCTTGTGAGACTGCTCTGGGGACAGACACCATCGCACCCACCCGCCTTCACCACATCTCCGTGTCCCCAGCAGGGGGGGGCAGAGCAGAGCCCACCCTGCGTGGGGACCCTCGCGGGGGGACAGTCACTGAGGGACCCTCACTGAGACAGTCACTGAGGGACAATCACTGAGAGACAGTCACTGAGGGACAGTCACTGAGGGACCCTCACTGAGACAGTCACTGAGGGACAGTCACTGAGGGACCCTCACTGAGACAGTGAGGGACAGTCAGTGAGGGACAGTCACTGAGGGACCCTCACTGAGACAGTCACTGAGGGACAGTCACTGAGAGACAGTCACTGAGAGACAGTCACTGAGGGACCCTCACTGAGACAGTC